TCAAAGTTTCAATTGAAGGTAACGGTTTATGCACTAGTGTGTATTACAAACCTACAGACTCGCATAATTACTTGTTATATTCGTCTTCGCATCCATCTCACGTTAAGAATTCCATTCCTTTTTCTCAGTTTCTAAGACTTCGTCGTTTATGTAGTGATGACTCTGATTTCCACCACAAATCAGAGTCAATGTGCCAGTTTTTCGATAAACGTGGTTACCCTGTTTCTGTCGTTCAAGCGGGTTACCACCGCGCCCAACTTATTGATCGACATTCAGCACTACAAACGTCGCATAAGGAAGATTCCGACCGCATTCCATTCACTCTCACGTTTCACCCTCACAACCACTCAGTTAAATCCATCATTCTTAAAAACTTTAAATTACTTCAAAACGATCCAGAGACAAGCACTATCTTTTCGCAGCCTCCGCTCATTTCATTCAAACGCGACAAAAACATAGGCAATTTTTTGGTCAGAAGTTCTTTTCAGACTAATGACCAACCAGGCACTTTTAAGTGCACTCGTGCACGATGCAAAACGTGTCCTTTCATTCACAACCCTGAGAAAATATCGGGACCCAAACGATCCATTAAGATCACCGATCACTTCACGTGCACCTCCGCCAATGTAATCTATTGTATAACTTGCACTTATTGCAAAAAGATGTACATCGGCGAAACAGGCAGAGGACTGGTGACCAATTCCGAGAACACCTTCGGGACGTGGAGAGGAATGACAAGGACACGTCGAAACCAGTCGCTAGACCGTGATTTTGATTTAACTAACCATTCTAAGCACCACATGGCAATCTGCGGTCTTTCCTTGCGCTTAGGTAGCACGGAAAGCCGAAAAACTCTTGAACAAAAGCCCATCTTTCAAACCGGCAGTCTAAATCCTACAGGTATCAACGAACACTTTTCTTTCCACTAATTTATTCGTGTTTTTCTCGTTGCCATGTTCCCACCAATCACGTAGCTCCTTTTTCTGCCTTTAAAAGCAGACACAACCCACAATTCCCCTATTCGCTCCGACGAAGGGCTAATCCTCGAAACGTCAGCTTTTATAATCGTAACGGTGGCTAATTTACCATTTCAACTTTGTTGATACATTCAAATTATTTCGTTACCCCCACCGACGTAGCCCCAAACAGTTTCTTTAGAAACTATCAGCCTTTATATAATTATATGGTTGAATGAAATATATATGCCACAAGTCACTGACTTTAAGTTAAAACAAATGAATCTCTGAATTCGGCAAAATACAAGTAGTAATGGCTTACTTGACACCTCTTGGATCCTCATGTTTTATTAAAGACAAGTGAGCCGCTAAATTTCAGCTGAGATGTTATGGTTTTTACGAGGATAACCAATATCCTAAAATAGCAATAATACTACTAGTACTATGTAGTGGTGTGCCAGTCATGGATCATAATCAAAAACTGATCGAGACTTAAAGTGATGTGGCAGTTGATCATGCTTGATATATAATCGATTATTTTGGGAAACTGAAAAATTCATTGCAGTCAACTAAGAAAATAAAAACTGGGGTGTTTTCCTTTCTCCTGAACCAACATAACAGCAGATTTAATCCATTAATATGTCCTATTAATTTTGTGAATTGTACCTTGTTTACATGTAGCTTATGAGTACAATATGGTAAATGTTTAGCAAAATCTGTAAGTATCTTGATAAATTATGAAATTATTTTGGCTTTTACAATTTGAATATGACAGAAGGTCCTCCTTCTAACAGGGCTTCTGATATTCTGCGATCTTGTGGTTTCGCATAATTGACCTCAAATCGCAACTTTTCGAATAATTCGTCAAAAATCGCATAATGCAGGCAAAATTGCAAAATTCGAGGAAAGAACAAGGAAATATTGGCTTCTTACCTTAGTTCTACGACAATTTAAGCGTTGTTTCAAGGTGATTTACATCTCAAAAGACGTTAGAAATCACCAAAATCGTCCGTGAGCGTTCGATCGATCAAACAAGCGTTCTATGCGTAGTTTCGCACGTCGGGGGCCTGGTACTAGTTCTCAATGGATAATCGTTTGTGTTAATGGCCACTCACGATTGTTGATATATTCTCTGGAGATGTTATTTAATCCCGCGCTATTTTCGACGTAGTATGTAAAACTGAAATTTGTAACATTGTTTAATTAGGGAAGAATCAAGTGACACTTAATTGACTAAATGAGCAATTTCAGATTAAAATACCGGTATACTCACAAACATTTCTAAAGCATATTTGCTGTAGGCCCCCATAGACTTGAAAACTGACATAAAAAGTTTTTGGTTGATGAGATTTCTGTTGCCATCCCCCTCCCCTGCAATGTCCCTCATCTGCATTACGAGAGTAGCCAGGCAAATACAACAAAGGGCATAATTTCTTATATAATCATCTTCATTGTCACAGTCATTGACATCTACTTTTTGTAATAGGAACTTGTCAGTGAACTTTCCAAAAGCATCATCAAAGTACTTCTTCTTGTTTTCTGAGCTCTTATGTGCAATGTTTTCTGGGAATTTATGTGCTGAGGGAGTGTCCTCTAGGTCTGACATCCCAAAAAAGTTCAGGGCAGCTGTTATGATGTAAGCTTTCCCCACGCTGAGGAACAACTCTTCACTTCCTTCATAGGAGTCAAGAACTTTGGATGGGGTAGCATTCCTCCTATTGTACTTCTCTCTGAAGTACTTTAAGGTGCCAACTTGATTCACAGACTCAGCTTTGTGAAGAAACGAGTAAGAATACTGCAGAAGGGATGCTTTTGTATGCCACATTACTGGTTTAAAAGGTGAGCAATGTTCAAAACGATCAGCTGCTGTGTGAGAACCAGATAGCAGATCTTTGGCACCTGCAAATCTGACCCGAGTGAGCTGATCACCTGCAAATGTAATCTTCATCTCCCTCATTGCATCATCATGGGTGTCTGGTTGGTGCGCATTTGTCTGTCCAGATGCTGCAGGCCCGTCGGGAATCAGTGGATTGTCAGTGTGTGGCAGTTCATCTAGCAACCCTGCTTGAACATAGATTTCAGCAATCCACTTTTCATAAGTTCTTAATATGTGAACACAATCATCATACTTTGCTTCATTTGCATTGATGATTGGCAAACTTACTATGGTAGACTTCTGTGACATTTGCTGGCTGTACTCATGAGGAATGTGATCTGGTATAACAGATTTCAAAAACTTAAATTTGGGAAAAAACTCAAGAACAATTCTACCAAAAATAATTGTGGCACATTCTGCATAACGTTTCCATTCAGGAACATTCAAGGAAAAATTATATCGAGGGAAATCTTTGATGTTTCCTTTAGGGTTGTCATTAGGCAAGTGATTGAAGTTAATTCGGTTCTCAATCAAGTTACTGGCAAATAAGTGTAGATCCTCATTCTGAATTTCCTTTCTCATGTGCCCTTTCAAAATTTTCAGGTCCCAGTTGTCACCAGTGCCTCGGAACACACTACCTCTCTTTACTTGCTGAACCACTTTGTCTGAAAAATGACCCCCTAAGAGCTTCAGCAGGGTGTCCCTTCTCCCAGATGATAGGCACACACCAAGTTTGTTCAGTCGTTCTTGAAGCTAGGGATTACAAGGGAATCAGAAATTAACAGCAAATTAACTACACATGCACATGCAGTAACCTCCTGTTTCACAACTTTATAATATAAGCCAAGAAATTTCGGAGTTTTGATTGGTTGATAATGGCCCTATTTTCGCGTAATAGTGGTAAAACAGAATAAAAATGGATGGTATAACAAGGTTACCATGACAACCTTTTACTTTGCCTTTTCCTTTTGGCCTGTGTTTGTTTTTTCAACCGTAACGAAATAAAGGACTCGTGTGCGTTTCCGAAAATTTCTCGGCTTCTGTTATAAAGAAATAATAGCATGACTTGTAGTGGTATTTGGCAATAATACCGGCTCGTAATATTTCAAAATTATCCAAATACCACTCACCGCTTCGCGGCTCGTGGTATTTCGGTCAATTTTGAAATATTAATCGCGGTATTATTGCCAAATACCACTACAAGTCATGCAATTACCTATACTTATCCTATCACTCACAATATATTTCTGAATGGATCTTTCAATTAGAATCACAATCACAACCTAACACAAAACTACCTCACAAGGATCAAATTTCTGCAGAGCTTTATATAATTAAGAGGATAAAATGCAGATTGTATTCAATGCATGATTGCACTGGTGAATAATAAATACTACAGTGCGACTAAAGCAGTTGATTAAGGATAACAATCCAATGTTATATATATCTTTAGCTAAGAATTACCTTTTTGGTACATCCACCTTCATTGATGAGAACTGTATTCACACGTTTCACCAGGTTGAGTTCGTGCCATCTCTCGTTCATGAGGATCGAGTACAGAAAACTGTACTTTACTTGAAGCTCACGCTTTGTGTCTGAGACGGACTTCTCTTTGCCAGACACTGCGTTCATAATCTCGACAAGATAAGGGTGGTTCGTCTTCAATTCGACCCAAATTTTATTGAAATCGAAACTGTTCATGCTCTCAAATTCATTTCCATATAAAACGGAACCTTGCGAACGTTTGCACAGCTTTGCACACGACGTTTTCAACTCCTCACTGCTGGTCTTTTTTAACTCGTCCACAACACTTGGACAGTAATCTTTCAAGATAGCCGTCAACACAGTTGCATCCCTGTTACTGACAGCTTGTAGAATCATTTTCTGCTGTCTTTCAGTCAATAACGATTGAGCTTCTAATGAGGTGCAATCATTATCTCCTATTGATTTAGGCCTTAGAACAGATTGCCGAGTTAAAAAAAATGGCTGCCCTTCAGACCTTGGTNGATGGATGTCCTCCCCTGGGATGGGATGGGTGGGATATTGGGCGCACTTAATTTGGAGCCTCGCTCTGTTGTGCGACCCTCACCACACTCTAGTGAAAGTGATTAAATAACGTAAATTTTTGTATCCTAGGTACTTCAAACAACATGAAAGGAATCTGAAACCAAACGATGGGCCTTTTCTCGACTCTCACCAGTAATAATTTGTAAAAATATATATATATTCATATATATATATATATATGAATTAAGTTGAGCTATTTAAAGTTTGCTCCTCTCAAAAAATTGAACATGAAAAGTATCTAAGAATCAATCTCTATGTTTCTAATTGCACTTCTCACGGGTTCACTTGTTGGAGTTCATCTACGTGCACCTCTAATAAGCCCCTGTTTTAGATGGCGTGTAAGCTAAATGTCAAATTCAATACTTATTACTGAACAAAGACGTAACCCATCACTTTGATATTCTTATCTCCGTTGTCTGCACAATAGGCTGCCCTATTACCACATGTATTGGAACCCGCGCCTATTAAACCAATACCAATTTTAGTTTTCTAAAGTTTTCTCCATTTTTGGCGATCAAACCGATTCTCGCCTTCGAATGGGTTGAATTCGGGTGTACATTGAACCCTTCTGCATTGCAGTAATTTTTCAATGAGTCCTCTGAACCAATCAGCGACTTCCATGGGTTGCGACCTAGTGAAGTGCTACGTTATTGCCCATCGGCTATCAAACAATACAGAGAATCTGCGAGGTCGTTGGTTTCATCACCGTTCTTCATACCGAGGCATACCGAGTTGAAACTTGTATTCCAGTAAGTTGGTAGCTTGGTTTCTTTCTCGTCAAATCCTGTCATCCCCGCAAAACTTTCAAACTCCACCATGTTGCTCCAGAGATCGGAATAATATTGGAATTCCTGTAATATAATGACATTATTAGTTTACAACAATTTACTGTAATAGGGTTTTGAAGTAAAAAAAAAAGGATATAACGAGTTTGACATCACCACAAGTTTTCTAATGAATTATGCTATTGTCAGACGCAACCCGAAGGAGATTAGGACAAATTTTTCGTTTGCACAGCGTTGCTCAGCAGTTTCAATCCTATGACAAAAGTCTTGAAAGTCATGGTTGCTAAACTCCCCAAGACTCTGCTAGTCCCACATTGATAAAACTCCGTGCTCTTTTTACTTAGTTGAAGTATTTAACGCGATTTTCAATTGAGGGCCGAAGGTGAAATAATCGGAGACTGCATAAGTTTTGCTTTACATCGCTTTGTGATTAGCCCAGAAAACTCGCGCCATTCTCTTAACCAATCAGATGCGAAACTAAAACCAATCACGACTTGGTTGCCGCGTTTTCCCGCGCTTTTAGGCAGCTTCGTGGATAAACGCAGGAATTATAAGACTAATGGCTCGCAGAGAGACTCGAAGCAAGATGATATGAGTTTTGATACATATTACAATAAATATGCATGGACGCATGTATATACATGTCAGGAAATCAATTGCCTGCTTCATAATAAAAATAACTTATCGTTTAAAACTTGAAATAGATCGCCGCTTTAGCCCAAATATGATTGTTTTTAACGCTTTTTGGTGTAAAAACGTCTAAACTTTCACGATATTAGGGGAATTCTAAAAGATATAATGGTGGGCCCAGCTGCTATTATAATTACAGCGCTTTTTTGTTCAATCCAAGATGATTTGTTGTCTCCTGCTGAGCCAATAAGAGCATATGACTCCCTCCACCCCACTGCAACGTCGGGATAACTCGCACCCAGAATGCGTCGATTGCTGGTGATACATGTCACGAACCCTCATCTCCAACGGCCACCGAAACGATGAAACTTAACAATGAAAAGGCATTCGACTTATATATCACAAAAATGAATAGCTGAAGCTATGGAGGGGCGCTGGAGGATTTTGGTTGTGTCACCATAAAATTTACATGATACCCTATAAGACTCTATAATATTTTTGGGTTCTCCCACCTTGGCAGGTAGTTGGCAGTCTGTCCTGGCGACGTCTGACACCCTCGCTGTTCCCCTTGAAAGCCATGTGATCTCCCCAAAATTCTCCACCGCCCCCACCCTCCCCCAGGGATAGATAACTACCGGTCCCTTACATGATTAAATACGCAGATGAATACAACAGAAAATGAACTTTTGTTAGGTCATGGCAAGAGTATGATGGTGTGGTAATGCATTTTTTATTCAAAAAGCATACAAAACCTTGATATGTCCTAGGAGGGGTGAAAAGAAAAAGGGAGATCTGGGTCGAGTCCCTACTCGACTCAAACCTCTCGCTTTATTTGAAACCGCCGTAATTATCACGATTTTTGGGAAAAATTCTCACAATTTCGTTAAAATTATAGAATCTACGCTTAACATAGACGTTAACTGCAACGACACGAACGCTGGATTGTTTGGGCGGTTGTTAAAGTTTCAGCGAGCAACTGAGAAAGTAGAAGAAGCTAAAAACTGAACTGAAACTCTTTATTCGCACTATTTCAAGAGGTTACTACAGATTATAAAAGTCAGAATATATAAGAAACAGTAAATTACATCAATAATCAAAAGGAAATACAAGACGCCTTTCAATCTAGGCCAAGGGCTAAACGCTTGCTTCGACCTACAGATGGAGATCAGGAGGAAAAAAGCGCGTGCTTGCCGTCAACAAACCGGGCGAAGCTTCGAGAACACTGCAATTTAGGTCGGCCAACGTCTCCTACACTACTTGTACTTCTTCATTTGCCAGTCCGCTGCTAGCTGGAGCGAACCCGATTAGTTATGTTCGTGGCTTCTTATCACCGGTACAGGAAATCGGCCCGAATTATCGAGTGTTTCCGCACGTTGGTACAACGCAACAACAATAACAATAATATGACCACTTTCATCGGTAACATGTTCAAACACGAGCGGGAGTGCTTGATATATTAACAATTTCCCGGATCCTGCAACTTAACAAAAATAGTACGTAAAATCATACGTAAACATCATACGTAAAAACATCTTCTTTCTCGACTAAAACTTTTTTAATTGCAAGCTTCTGGTGAGCATTAAGCTCGACAATTTTGAACTTTGACGACGCTTTGCGAAAAGCTCCCTCAAGCACCGCCATTTGTCTTGTGTTTTCCACATGAGGATCTCGATAGAAAACGATATCTGATTGGACGAGTTTCAAAAGGTGAGTCTGGCGCGAAAAGGTTCCTGAAAATGGAACCCGAGCTGTGATTGGCCAATTCGGAGAAAGGAGAAAAAAGTATGCCTTTTCGTTCTGACCTTAAGCTGAATGAGAGCTCTCTGGAAGAAACATCTGAATTCTGTGATCTTGGATTAGTTACTAGTAACAAGTTGTCCTGGAATGCTCATGTTGATAAGATATCAAGCAAGGCTAACAAGATTCTTGGCCTTATTAAAAGGACATGCAAGGGTCTGAAAGATGTTAACATGTTAAGAAGGTTGTACTGTGCTTTGGTAAGGTCCCAATTGGAATACTGTACTATTGTCTGGTCACCCTTCACGGCTAGAAACATTAATAAATTGGAAAGGATTCAGCGAAGAGCCACCAAGTTTATTCTAAAAACTGATGATGATTACAACACTCGTAAAGAAAAACTGAACCTGTTATCTCTAGAGGACAGACGCTTCTTTTTTGA